AGATGGGCGCTGCCACCGCCATCTTGCCAGATGCATGGCTTCACTCCAGGCCATGATTTCCACTCCAGTATTTTTTTTTTAATCCTCCTTCGTGCAAATTAACCATCACGATGGCGGTGTGCTGCGTGCCTTTCGGCGAGTCAAGGCAAGGAAAGACTCCTGATGTGACTTTTCATGAGTTTTCAGTGACCAAGGTCCGTGAAAAATGGATCAAGGTGATTTTTGTGTTGTAAAAGATTACGTGTCTCGAAAGGAGTGAGTTGCTGGGCTGGTTGGTGGCGCATGACAGATTGAAACGCATAGTAACGCAAAAGGAAACACCGACAACCTCAAGAAAGTCAACGACGACGCGCTATACTCACAACTGCTTATTAGCAAAAAAAAAAAAAAAAAGGAAAGATGACAAGAGTACACATATGGAAACCATGTCACTACATATGGTTATGCAACTAGTTTTTGAAACACATCCATTGTGTGAAGAATTAGTGTTGAATAAGCAATTTTAAGTGCTGTTTCGTTTCAAAATAGTTGCAGAGTGTCTTTCAGTGATGATTTATGATACATCTACATATGCCATTTGAGACAAAGGTATTTATGCGCAATTTTTTCCGTGGGCGCTCAGGACAGATGGATGGGTGGATGGATGGATATGACTGTACCCTTTAGATCGGGCGCTGGCTAGCGCCACCATGCCGTACTACCTGATAAACAAAAAACTGGATTTATTTTTTTTTCTCTTTAAATAGTGAGGTTGAGGATTCGTACTTTGCAGTGAAGGGCTTAATTTTTACTCGTGCCTTGACTTTAGCCACCAATCAGATAACCTCCTTCTAGTTAATCCTACCCGCCTAAAATGTACTTTGCCCTCCCTGTTACTAAACCACAGTGCTTTGAAAAACTCTGCGCCATCATCCTGAACTATAGGGTTAAGCTTTTTATGGAAGATTACCAAGTGTTCGGCACTTTTTTCTTCCTCTTCACACACACTGCATGCCATGTCTACCCCTTCGTATTTGGCCCGGTATGTCTTGGTTCGTAATACTCTTATCCTAGCCTCAAACAGTAGAGAACTACCCTGAGTATTACCATAGATCCTTGTTTGGCAATTTTCTGCTTAAAAGTTTGATAGATCTCTAGTGCGGCTTCTTAATCATGCCAATTCTCCACATATCGGTCTCAGCTTCCTTCACCTGGGGTACAGCTGGGGTAACTCGAGCTCCCCTAGGCGGCGAAGTTCAGAATCCGAGCCGGCGCTGCCGCGCAGGCAGCTCCGTAGATCACCACCAGCTGGACAGGTCAGGAGTACAGTAGGTCGTGATAAAAACAACAAAATTTCATAGTAAGACCGAACTGCAACCGTAGAAACATACTCGCGCAAATATTGAACGCATGCGTAGAGCGATGCACTCACAATTTTAATCAGGGAGCATCGCGATCATCGCAGTGCCTTCTTGTTTTATCTAATGATTTTTAAGTACCGCCCTGTGGTTGCCCTTTGCGTACTTTTTCAATGTTTTAGCGTTCAAATGTTCTACTTTTTCAATACGCTGTCTTTTCCGATTGAAAGGCGTGGCCAATGATTTTGACACGTTAAAACATGGTCGTCTCAGTATACCTGCCACATTTTACAGCAAGCAACAGCTTTTCAGTGTACGCTCGTAATTCATGCAGCGGACTAGCAAATGCGTGAATCTGCAAGGCCAATGCTTGCGAGTGCTTCGGTAACCGAAAGTGTATGAGGAACACTACAAGAAGGACGGCCATCGCCATCATCTACATGATGATGATGATGATGATGATTAAAGGCCTCCCCTTTGAATCGGGGTGACGGCATGCGCCATCTAGCCTACCTTAATAGTTCGAGTTTAAATTCTGTCCCTCAACTCGGATGTCTTTTTAATTTTGCCCAGCCGCTACTCTTGGCTGGGATGTTATTTTATCGACTTCTCTGCTTTTCCTCCACCAATACTCCAGCCGCTGCTTAGTAATACCTACTGCTGACCAGTTAATGCTTCCATCAACCGCGAAGCCCAGCGCCTCAGGAAGTGTGACCTTCCCCCCATTTCTATCCGGCTGAATCTTTTGACATTCCATGACTATGTGGTCGATTGTTTCTTTATTTATGCCACATCCAACACATGTCTCATCCTGTGACGAATATTTGCTCCTGTAAGTTAGAGTTCTCAAGCAGCCAGCCCGCGCCTCAAAGAGCAACGCACTACCTTTATTGTTGTCATAAAAGTTCTCTTTCCGGATCTCTTGTTTGCTTGCCTTGTAGATTCCCAGCGATCCCTTCTTTTCCATCCTCTCTTTCCACATGAGCGTCTCTGTTTCCCTCACTTGCTTTTTAACTGGCCCCCTTTGCTTATTTGCCGCGGTCAAGTTATATTTAGTCGCCAGCTTTCGCGTCCTCTTCCGCCATTTGGTGTCCACACTTTTCAGGTACAGGTATCTGTGCACTCTGGCTGCCCAGTTCTTCTCATCTAAATGTCTAAGTCGCTCCTCAAACCGTATTTTACTTTGTGCTTCCCTCGCCTCAAATGAAGCCCAACCCATATCGCCTTGTACAGCCTCGTTTGTAGTCTTACTGTGAGCTCCCAGAGCTAACCTGCCGACTGCCTTTTGGTTAACCTCCAGCCCCGACAGGATATCTGACTTTAAGCATAATATGGCATTAGAGAACGTGAGCGCCGGCACCATTACCCCTTTCCAGATGCCTCGTACTACCTCGTACTTATTGTGTCCCCAAAGTGCTCTATGTTTCATTACTGCTGCATTCCGTCTCCCTTTCAGTCTGAGGTGTTCTTCATGAGCATTCAGGTAGTCTTTTCCTTCATTCAGCCAGATCCCCAAGTATTTGTACTTATTTACTAATGGTATGGCTTCCTGTTGTATCCTTATTGGTGCTACATGAGCTTCCTCGTTGAACACCATGACTCCAGATTTCTGTGGGTTAAAATGTAGGCCTAGGTACGTTGCCTCATCACCACAAATGTCAGCCAGTTTTTGAAGTTCTTCCGCATTATCCGCCAGCAGCACTATATCGTCTGCGTACATCAATCCCGGAATCCGTTGCTCCACTAACACTCCATTGCTTCGGTGTGACAAATCAAAGCCCAATTCACTCTCCTCTAGTCGTCTTTCCATTCCTCTAATGTACAGTGTGAACAGCAATGGCGAAAGAGGGCACCCCTGTTTTAAACCTCTTCGAATGTACACGGGCTCTGTGTATGTACGCCCTTCCCATGTAATGTGTGCCTTGTTACCCTCATATATTTCCCTTAGCAGCCCTACAAATTCCGACCCAATCCCCTCCTCTTCCAGTATATGCCACAGCAATCCCCTGTCCACGTTGTCATAGGCACCCTTTATGTCCAGAAACAGTAGCCATGTTGGTCTGCCCTGTGCTGCCGAAATTTCGATGGTCTGGGTTATGACGAAAAGATTGTCTTCCAAGCGTCGACCCGGCCTAAATCCATTTTGCAGTTCCCCTAAAATACCGTTACTTTCAACCCACTTCAACAACTCGGCTTTGATGGCTTGTATAGCTAATCTATAGAGCACTGACGTGACTGTAATCGGCCTGTAAGAGCTCGCCTTGTCCCTTTCTCCCTTGCCTTTGTAGATCAAACTCATTCTACTTTCGCGCCAGTGCGTAGGAATCCTCTTGGATTTTATAGCGCGCTCGATGGCTCCATACAAGTGCGCCTGTCCCGCTGGTCCCAAATGGTTGATAATCTCTATCGGGATTCCATCCGGTCCTGTTGCCGTACTTTTGGGAACACTGTGTTCTGCCTTTTTCCAGTCCAAAAATTCGATGTTAAATTTTTCATCTGCCACTCTTTTATTTTCCACCTGGGTCCAGTTAGCCGACCTCTCGCGTGCTTGGCCGAAAGTCTTTCCGATGACTCCATGTAGGTATTCTAATGCGCTATCCCCCAGGAGAACGTTGCCGTCCCCGTCCTGTATCTGAGTCTGCATCTCTTTAGTCGTCGTTCCCAATGCTTTTAAATGGTTCCAGAGTTTTCTGGGGGCGCTCTTATCCTTCTTACGTATGTCTGATACCCATTTCTCACTCGCAGCTTTAATCTTCGCTTGTACTAGTTTCTGCACCTCAAATTTCTTTTCCCGGTACCGGCTCCACCGTAACTGCACCTCATCATCCTGATATCCCATTTGCTTTGCTTTTCTGTGCAGTCTAGAGGCCCGTCGTCGCTCTTCAATAGCCAGTTTAATTTCCTTGTCCCACCAGCTTCGTGGTTTCCGTTTACCCCTCCAGCGGTTTTTTTTCCTTACTTTGTTTATTTCCTTTTGTATACAACTAACAACCTCGTCATATTCCCACATCTTTGTTGGCTGTGCTTCTAATTCTCTTTCGATGCTATTGACGATGTCTGCTATCTGCTTTTCGCTTACTTTCGGGAGCCCAACCTCCTGTGTTTTCTTCCTAGCCCCCCCACTGTCAAATTTCAGGATTATACGCCTGTGGTCGCTGCCCAGACTGTTTTCTCCTTCCTCATCTATCGTCATTTGGTTCAACCGCTCGTACGTGTGTTCTGAGACCAGGCCGTAGTCTATACAAGACTGTCTACTGCCACTTTGCCACGTTATCTGCCCGTCGCATTTATGTTCCCGGTTAACTATTACCAGTTGCTGTTCTTCACACATATCGATAACCATTGCACCGTTATAGTCAGTATATCCATCCAGATCCTCAATGTGGGCATTTAAATCTCCTACTAATATCACCTCGCCAGATTCTTTAAATTTTTTTATGTCCTTCCTGAGGCAGTCCACCCACTCTTTATTTTGTTCTCTGGCGTCATTCCCTGACCACAGATAGGCCACTCCCAACCGTGTCTTTTCCCCCCCCACCGTTCCACTAACCCATAAGTGCTCCTTACAGCCCTGATTTTCCCTCTGCCAATTCCCTCCTCGCCTAATCAACATCGCTAGTGATCTTTGCGCACTGATGGAGTAGCGGACAATCTCTGAAACACAACGCACGCCAAACAAAATGGCGAACCGCACGGTAAAAGATGCGCACTCCGTGCGCGGCACAAACCCGCAATATTTAGTCGAGAAAATCATCAGATCGCGCATCTATGATTCTCGATACTGGAAAGAAGAATGCTTCGCGCTTACAGGTAAGCTTCTTGGTGTTTGTTCACCCCGGCGCGTTGCACTGCAACTCGTGCTTCCGGCGTTTTGCAGCCGAATTGCTGGTCGACAAGGCGATGGAGTTACGCTACATCGGCGGTGTTTACGGAGGGAACGTTAAGCCGGCACCGTTCCTTTGCCTGCTGCTCAAGATGCTGCAGATCCAACCGGAGAAGGACATCGTTGTCGAGTTCATCCGTCAGGATGAGTTCAAGTAAGGCTGATCCGGCGCGGTGTCTTCGAGTATCATTGCCGCGAAAGCGATTTCGTGTTTGTGAGAATGCTTGTGAAGACGTTACCCAAGGCTAATCATTTACTGGGTGCGCGCTGAACCGCCGGGTTGTAAATGTCCGCCAAATCGGCATGAAATGTCTTCGTTGTGTAGTACAGACTGTGCAAGCGCTCGCTGCATGAACGTTGTGATTACCGTACTATGATCCGAACCTTGTCAATGCCATCGCAGCTCTTGGGCAGCTCACCTGGCAACATGTTGCAACACTAGCCGTAGGTGACGCTAGTTTACGCAACATTATGAACTAGAAAGTTCGGATGCACTGTAGCGGTGCCACACAATTACTGAGCATAGCAACGACACAACTGTCGACGCCAGGCGTCACGTTACTAAGTAGTCAAATATCAGTACTTATATTTCAGAACTGGGGGTATTCTGGCATCATAAATGCTTCTTAAATACTTCTGAAAGGGGTTACATTACGCACATCATTCAACTAGAGTGCATGCATGTTGTTGACGTGTCGGAGCATGGAAATTTCTTTTATAATTGTTTTTCAAAATATCAGAGACTTTCTTCGTCTAATTCACCTGCAATGTGTATTATATAGACTGGATACTGCATGGAATACACTCATGCCTTGCCAATGCTGGTGTTATTTTTAGGCCTTGTAAGAAGCATTGTGAAAAATATGTGAAAAGAATGGCATTTTTTAACAGTGTAGCAAACTTCAACATCCTGGATTGATAGGTTACTAGTGTAGGCTTGAATCTCAGCCATTCTCATGTTTGGTGTTTACATGCAGTATTCAGGTGATTTCTTGCTGAAAATGCTAGCATATTTAGTCAGTTAAATAAAAAATCTCATATTTTTAACACATGCATGGCTACTTTTAACCACGAGCTACTGTACTCCCGACCTGCCCAAATGGTGGTGTTCCTATGGGAGCGTGTCCCCGCTCTCGTTCAACCGCTCACCGTTAGTGGCGCTACCTGTTGATCTGCTACTCTACGGCTGTTTGGACGGCGCTGGAGTAAGAATGTTGGCATTCGGTGATCAACTGCCAGCATTTATATTTGACTATTTCTTCACTTAAATGACTGGTCAAGTAAGCTGTTCAGTGCAGTCAGGTATTTATTATTACACACTGGTTGACAAACGTGTGAACCGGTAGACTTACATAATGTACAAGAGCCTGTGTGGTGTCGTGTCCATTTAATTGCAGACAATTTCTGAATGACTTCTAGTATATTTATTTACAAATTATTTATTTGTGCATAATAATTACGCACTGTGAGTGCTCTGTTGGCCGAAATATGACCACAAACGCTGAAGATGACGTCAGCAAACAGGTGCTGACTAGTGCCAGGTCGCTCGTATATTATGGCCCTAGCGGCTGAAGGTACAAACTAGATGTGTTTTGACCAGATAGCCCCTCCCAGCGCCCACAAACTAGATGTGGGCGCTGGAGAGGGGCTATCTGGTCAGGTCAGGAGTGCAGTAGGTCGTGCTTTTGACTACTTTTATTACCGTTGGCTCATTTTGGCAAGTTTTCTCAACTTAGTGCTAATGACTTTTTGACCTGGCAACGCTGTCTTCTTTATGAGAAGTACCAATTGGCTCAGCTTAACGATTTTCTGACTCGGTGTGTTTCTTTTTTTACATTGTACAATGCGTTCATTCTGTAAATGGTTTCCCAGATATGTGCGGGCCCTAGGTGCCAACTACATGCGTCTTGTGGGCAGCTCACTAGACTGCTACAAGTACCTGGAGCCCTTGTACAACGACTACCGCAAGCTCCGGCGTCAAAATCGGGACGGTGGTGAGTGAATCATTGTGTGCGTGTGTAATACCCCTGTCACTCGACAAATGTCATGTCAGTAGCCAAAGTGGCATTCGCAAAATGGCATTAGCAATAGACCCCTACCGGGGTACATCACAGCGTGACATCACTAGCGTACGTGCAAATATGAGGTTGCCAAAACAACCCTGCTGGTGGCTCAGTGCAGTACAGTCATGTGGAGTTTGGTGAAAGTTTTTTTCTTTTTCAAAGCCTAAACTTGTAGGCTCAGGGCTAAGGGTCGACTGAAGCCTTCAGAAAGCAGACCGAGGCAGCATTGGGAACATGACCTTCACCGACTGCGCGCAAGCTCGACTGCCAGGCGGCCGTTTTTCGATGCCCGCGTGAGCTCGTGCGCTCGAGCACCAAAAACCAGGGTGATACTGACAAATTTCTCGTTACGGTGGCGATATTAGCTGTAGTACACGTCAGAGAACTTCTAGCCATGTGGTAAACTGTCTGGTGAAATGTTTGCTACGCTGGCTGTTAACCTTGAAGAATCGCACACATGTGGCTACCTACACAATAAACAGTGGCATTGTCTTCGAAAATGTGCAGTGTTGATTGTGGCATGTAGTGTGCGTTGAAAAGGATCACCAATATTGGTTCACCTTTACGTATGGTGAAACTGGGAAAACTGTGCGTGGTGTGTGTGCAGTGTGAATAAGGATGCGTCTTGTTTGCGAAAACATTAGCACTGGCTGTGGGTTGGTGGCAAAAACCGGTTGTCGACAGAACTTCACGGTTTGACGTTTTGGTCAAGGCAGAAATGCATTTGACGCGATCATCTGCGAGTGGGTACATCTTAGCGTTTGCACTGTGTGCAGAGGAAGAATCGCATAATCTCTGGGCTAAAAGATACGACTACGCATGAATTATAAGGATGTTTACCATTGCCGAAGCTGCAGATACGCTTTGCGCTAGGGGTACGCAAACCCAATAAAAGAGCCCACGAAACTGTGAAAAGAAGCCGTGTGACGAACCGCGAGCGCACTGCTGTAGTACTGCTATAGGCTTTCTTTAATCGCAGAAAAAATAACGGCGCTAGGCGTACCGTACAGGAAACAATTTCGTCGGTGGTTTATGAAAGTGCTCTACATCTCAGCGTTTATATATTTGGGTTTCCAGCCCACAAACTGAAAATAGGCAATTAATAATTGGGAAATAATTAGTATGAGGAGAAATAAAAATATCCTGAGTACCTACAGACTAGTGCGCGTAGTATGCGTTTGGTTCTATCTGCCACTGAAGTGTCTTTCATTTTTAAATTCTTTGCTTAAGGGGGGAGGCTACCCTGGAGACCGAACTTTTTTATTTTTTAAGATATCTGGATGAACTTTGAGGGGTTGTTCACTACAATAAAACTAGCACAACTGCTAAGTTTCACAAGCTGTGTTTCTTAGTTCCAGAGTTATTGAGGTTTAACTGGGTGCTTCACATGGGTGCCTGAGGAAGAGTCGTGAGAAATCCCAGGACATAGTAGAAAGCTGAAATTCATTGTGGTCATTCCTTGATAGCTATCCCAGGGCGCTACAAAGCCGTTTTTTTTTATTTCCCCCCTCAAAAATTTTCACGCAACTTTGAATTTGATGTAACCAGTAATGACTAGATTCATCAAAAATTAATTGTTTATTATAAATTAACAGCACCGATTTTCAAAAAAAGGAGCTTGTTACGCCCTTGCTAGGTCATTCAGGAACAGAATAAAAAAAACGGCACACAAATCTAATCAACGGTTTTCGAGTTCTTGCTTTCCTCAGCACCACAACTAGCAAAAAAATCGGTTCTGAGAAAACAGGCCGAGAAAGTTCAAAACACGTGTTTTCTTCAAAAAGCTCCAGCACAGTAGCTAGAAGTGTCCTGGCTCACTCTTTTTTTCTTTTGCCTGGCCTCCATATTCTCTTGGTGTCTTTTAGAATTCTTTTTTAGGCGTAAAGTGTCTTTTTCATGAGCTCGCTGGATGGCCAGATGACCTGGTTGAAGTCCAATGGAGTCCGATATCACTTGGGTTGCTTTGCAGCAGCCGGCATTGTAGCGTAGCACTGCTTCATGCAGTGCTGTTTCTACCGCGATCAAGGATGAGTGTTGTTCCTTCGGCATCAGAGACCACAGAATGGAGTGGAATGACTCTGATGCATTTTGCGTCTTCGCTCCCAGGCAGCGCTGAAGAAGTGACTTTTGTGACAGTCTTTCGTAGATGGGCAGCATAGCTGCAGCGACATAGTCCTGTAGGCTGTGTTTATGTTTTGGCTGTGGCTCACGCTTTGCCTCTGCAGCTCTATGGCGGCACCACGATTGAGCCCCCTCTGGGCAAAGTTCATGGTGAGGGTCCTGGTCAGTCGATGTGACGTGGTGATATGTTGCCATCATTGCACGCTGCATGGCTGTTAGGTCAGTTGAATTGTTTCTCAGGGCCCAACCATGATATCCTGTCAGCTTTTCAATGAGGGCTTTAGTCAGCTTCCCCTTCCCACTCAGTGGCTTATCACTTTTCTGCACAATGTTTCGAAGAGCACTTCCAATCCTTTTCTGAACATGGTTCAGACATTCTTCTTTTACAATTGGCACTAGCCCGTACAAATTCTCTTCTGTGAGGGCAGCGAAGGTACGGCTGTCTCCGTCGGACACAAGAGTGGTGTACCGCAGGCCATGCTTGGATACAGGCCGCCCAAAGAGAGTCAAGCCTGCCTCCACTTCCATGCTTCCCGATTTCGCGTTTGTGTTTTTCTGGCAAATGTGGTGCTTCTGCCAGCTTTCGTATGCTGCATCTCCAGGTTTGGGCCCTGTTTGGCATCCAAGGCAGTGGTTTGAAAGAACTACAGCATCCAAGATGAGACCTGTAAAGAAGTCAATTACCGATCCCACTCCGATGTGTAATGTGTGACCCCGCTTATGCCATGTGCCATCGTACACTACGGTGATGTCCTTGCCGAAGCTGGGGTCCATTTCTTTATATGTTTTGATGACTGCTGTGGCAGAATCAGCATAAAACTTCTCCAAAGCGGTGGCCTCTGGCTTCCTGAACGTCTCTTTCAAGTGCTTTTGAAACGTCTTGTGGTGAAGACCTCTGTAAGAGACGTTCATGGCAGCCCAAAAGTCATTAAGAGCTGTTTGCCCCTTGCCTATTTGCTTTATAGCCATTATGGCGCGGACATTTACATCGAAGGCCTGCGTGTCCTTTTTGCAGGGTGATGTCCATAATTTATCGACGGTGCCACAAGAGGCGCACACGACTTCAAGTTTTGTTGCAAGTCCAAGCTTGGTGCTCTCTCGGACAGTCATAGCACCTTTCAAACATTCTTTGCACACTGTGCGGCTGAGCACGACGTTAAAGATGTTCATTTGAACGAGCGAAAAATGTTCGCCCTCACTTGTCACTGCAGATGCAAGAGCCGGCTGCATCAGTTGAAATTTCTTCTGCGTCGCCGGCGTGGACTCGAGTTCAGCGCGAACGGCGTCACGACGTTTCGCATTCGCATCGATTTCTTCCTTCGTTAGGAAACGCGTCCGCACAGGAAGCGACGGTCCACTCACCCTCGATGGCAGCACCAATTCAGACGAAGTGCTGGGTCCGGCGATATCAGAAGCACTCGGTGTCACGCTCGATGGCACCGATTCAGGCGAAGTGCTGGGTCTGGCGATATCAGAAGCACTCGGTGTCACACTGGATGGCATCGATTCGGAGCACGTGTCGAGCCCGGCGATCTCGGAAACACTCGGTGCATTTGCGGCTCCAGCCACACTCGATGTGTCGGATTCTCGACTGGCGACAGCCGACAACACAGTTCCGTCGCTGCAAGCGTCTACGCAGTCGGCACCCGCAGAAGAATAGCGGAATTTCGATGATCGTACAAGCCGCATAGCGCGTTTCCGCGCACCGGACTTCCGCACTGATTTCGGCTTCGTTGCCGGCATCGCCCGCAACAACAAAGACGAAAGGCACAGAACTAGTGCAAAAAGAAAAAAAAAAGCGAGAGAAAATGATCAAAAAGATAGCACAAGGCGAAGAGCGGCTCGTAAGCAGACGTCTGTCGAGGCGGACGGAGCAGAGAGCAACAACGAAGCGAGCGCGCTGGACGCGCCATCGAGAGGAGCGACCGCCCCCCGCTGCTGCACAGCAGCCAATGGCGGGCACGCTTTCTCCCGCGAGATATGAATGCGCTGCTCTAGCCAATCAGCGCTCCGCATTGCATCGCGGGAAAACGCCAATAGCGTCTCAACTGTGCTGCCGACGCCATTTTGCAAGGCGGCGAACGAGAGAGAAAGAATTCACGGTCAAAACAACACCATGATGGCGCGGGACGACCGCATGGTCCGGGAATGGCGCGCATTTGCGCCTGTTTTGGACACCGCAGCGGCCTCGAAAATAGTATTTTTTCTTGCACTTTGCGGTTGAATTAGGTGCTGATAATTACAGAATAGGTAGTTTATGAGACATACAACCCAAAAATGTGGTTTTTCAAAAACCGACTTTTTCGCGATTTTTCGGTTTTCAAGGGCCGCGTCCCCCCTTAAGTTATGTGGGACACCCTGTATACTTCGTACCTCTACGACCTGATATTTATGAAGTGATGATGCGCACTACATGTTTGTATGTCAAGTCTTAAAGGAGCAATGTAAGTATGCAAGTACGTTGTAGGCATCAGATTCAGTGATGTAACTGCTCGAAAGGTTATTGAGTTTAAAATAGCATGAATTTTCGGTGGCCTATGAGGAACACACGAACAACTTCACTTTGATTTTAGTGAGGATATGTTAACGTCAGCTGAACGCACGACAAAGAGTGCTTTTTGTGTTGTTGTTTTTTTCCTTTTTGCCCCATTCACTTTCGATCAGAATTTTGCTCTGTGAGTGAGAATCTTGTTCGTAACCTCTCCCACGGCAACTCTAAACCATGCTGCTTCCAATGCTGTGCCTCGTTTAGAACTGCAGTGCAGATTTCGCAGCGAAAATTCAAAGCATGCGTTACTGTCAACACGCAG